GATAGTGTTGATGATGAAGCTTTGCGGAGTAGACCAGATATTAGCTCAGTCTATTCTTGCAAATACTTTCTCAACTTCCCAAATAACCATTTATACTGCTCTGCTTTACAGTTTTTCTAAAAGTGTCAAAATACGAAGACTGAAACTCCAAAGCAGATCATCTCAAGTCACACTCTAATTTAGCCTCAAATTTGTGCCTGCTCTAAAACTGCTAGTGTTTTCTCTCTCTCTTGTTGATTCTCTTTTCCTCTCTGCCTCTTCCTTTCTCTATCCACATCAAAATATTATTGTTTTGCCCACTTGACACTCTCAGTGGGATGCTGCCGAGTACAGAGCATTCTAGCCCTCATTCAGCCAAGCTCTTTCGGCATATGTTTTATTTTAAGTGTGTTACAGACCAGCCTAGAGCCACTGTATATATTCGGCTTATTCACACTCTTAATGCTTTGTTAAACTGGCACCAGAACATTGAAGAATATTGTGATGTTTCAATTAATTATGAGTTTGTGTTTGTCTTCCTGCTGTTGGGCTTTCTGTTCCAGTTTACAAACACAATTTTTAGCACCATCAGTCATACCAAGAAATAGTAAGGAGTCTGGTCTGGCTAAAAAGGCTCTGGCTGCTGCAGTTCCCTTCTGAACATGAATTTGTCCAACTTCCCTACGGAAGGGAGGCTCACCTACTCTTCAGGAGCAGATATCCTTCAGTCCTGTTGCCAGGATCCTCCAGAGTGGGTGCTTCGTGTGCTGGGTCTACATACAAGCAGGTGGCAGACTGGAGGAGTGTAGGAGAGCCAGTTACAAAAAAAAAAAAACCTCCAGATTGCATTGTCTGCATTCCCCCCGCCACTTTGCTGAGGGAAACACTGTCAGCATGAAAGTGAAGTGCTCACTCCTCCTTCTCCCCTCCCACCCTTTTGCTGAGGCAAGAACTCTTTCCTCCTACAGCAACCAGCAGTCTCTGTGTTACGTTGTGGTTTTTCTTAAAGGAGGGAGCAATCTATGATGTCCTGTGCGGTCATTCAGCTCATCTGACTTTAGGTACCTTGCACAGCTGATGGAGAATACAGGGCACCTCCAGAAGGTGATTCATCCACCTAAGATCGTAATCATTTTCTAAAAATGTCCATCCTTCCACTGATGTTAAGAAGTCTGCGCTCCTAGCTTGGGCAACCTTGGGAAGTGCCTGAGAGTTAGGCAGGACGAATATGGGTCAGACTGCAGCAGGAAAGGAGACTGTTGGATCTGCTGAGTTACAATCTTGCTGTGTAACAGAGTGTGCATGAGATGAGCAGAAAGCTGAAGGCAACTGAGCCTTGCATTTATTTGAGTTATGGAAGGGGAAGAGGATTGTAAAGGGGGAAGAGAAAATCAGATATCTATATTGAAACTGAGACAATCAAGAGGCCTATTTTAAGTCTGCAGCGTAAATCTATTGCATTTCTGATTGAACTGACATCTCAGAATTAATTAAGGCTAAAACTGACCCGCCCTGACACAGAGCATGGAGCTCAAGGGTCTTTGAGATACTCAAGGTCTTTGAAATACTTGTGCTCTTTGAGAAGTGTTCTCATCAAGGTCTGCCTAGCCCTGCCATAATCTACCCCATGTCAGAGTTTGGGGAAAGCTGGAGTTTGGGCACAGCTGGTCACAGGGTTTCCTGCTCTTTTACTTTCTTCCTATCAAGTTTGTGCTGATCAGCATAATTATAGCACAGAATCACATTGAGATTCCTGGGAAAAGGAGAAAGGTGTAAAAAACTTGCTGCATTCAGTTTGCCAGGATGAGCTGCTAAGTTTGCAGAGCTTTAGAGGCAAGACTTCCGATGAATCATTTTGACAGGCTTATGGAGAGCATCTTTGCCATAAATCACCATTTTTCTTGCAAAAATCAATGGTATCCTAAAACACAAGCCTGAGAAATCCTATATCCACTTTACCCGGTGCCTTTTTAATTGTCATTATAAGAAAGTCTGAATACAATAATATTTACACACCTCCTCAATCAGTTAGAGAAAATCTATTGGTTTTGACTAGCTGTCCTTCTTGGGATAAATCTTGGCCTTATCATTCCCGTGTGGATAAGAACATCCTGTGGAAGACGACGAATGATCAGAGGCCATCAGCTTCAGCGCCAGCGCACGCATTTACCGCAGGTGCCTTGTGCTGTTCCCCTTTAGGTTGAGTGAGAAAGACTTCCTTTGCCCAAATGAGACTGGTCATGTGGAAAAGGCAAGAAAATGTGTTTCCTGCTATTTGAACCCTAACTATTCAATTTAAATCTTTGACAAAATTAGACCCAAGACTCCTCAGGTCTACCTAAGAGATGAGTTGTTTCTTACACTAACTAGTATGTTCCCCAGAAACGAGTTGGATGCTAACACCAGAGACTGTGATGGCAGTGCCAGTGCATGCGGCGCCCTTTACTAGCGGAGGGGCTTCCTCAGAGATGGCTTTGACTTTCTATGGCTCCGCAAGGAATGCCCTTAGGGAGTGGAGACTGAAAGCCCCCTCTTCCAGTGAGGCAGTTCCAGTCGTGAGGAATTGCCTTTGCAGAGATTTGCAAGTAGCAAAGGCCATCGCATGGGGATTCATGCAGGAGAGGACAGCCTGGTTTATCGGAGACTGCTTTAATATTGTAGCACCAGAGGACAGAGTATGTCTTAATTCTGAACTGTCATGATGTTGTTGTTTAAAGTAAGGCTACTAATATAATCTTTGCATGCATTGTGTTTTGCATCAGTACGTTTCATGGCTAGCCATCAAAGACACGACTTGTTCATGAAATCTTCTGAACTTGTCAGTGTGAGAGAAAGACTGTTTAGTTCTGGCTGGAAATGTTAACAACGTTGCCGTGAGCTCCAGAGCCAGAGATAATTTTCCATACTCTGCAGCAAGGTACACACCTACTGAGGCATTGGTTTAAAAACGTGCTCTGCTAATTTGTAGTCAGGTTTTGGATCCATTCTAGTATTTCAGCTCCCTAGATCTATAAAGATATCTTCACTTACACAGCCAGGAAACAACCTCAAAACAGGTTAAAAGATGGGAACTCTTCAAAGACTGCAAGATTAATTTAATGTCCTGCAGATTCTCTCAGTGGGGTGGTGGTAAAAAAAACACCCTACAGCTTTTCAAATCTGTATAAAATATTTATCTGCCAAGATTTTTAATGGCGGAATCTGCCTAAGTATTTACTCTCAGTGACCTGTATAGTTAAGGCTTACATAATTACACTATACACCATTTACTGGAAAGGCTTTAAATATTCATTGACTCCTCGTGTTTTAATGTAAACAAGGCACTTTTAGAATACCTAAGGTTTTTAATTCCTGCAAGGTGAAAAAGATGTCCGAAGCAGATGTTACTGCTTGCATGAGTGTTGCTCAGAAGCAACAGGGCAGATTGATGGTACTTTAAATGGTAAGAGCACAGTGGCTTTCTGGCCCGAGATGTACGCATCTGCCCATCTCTGATTCTGATCCCAAACTAGTGTTCTTCGGAAGCTAGCTCTACCTAAGTAAATAAAGTTGAAAAAAGTGTAAAATGGGTGAATATCAGTGGAAAATCAGACCTTTACATTTCTGACTGCCTTCATTGAATCCCATCTGTTTTATTGGTTTGTCAAGAACACCTAGCCAAAGCAGGCAGTAAGGGGAGGCAGCGAGGAGTTTATATACGCATGCCTGGGCAGACTCCTCGCCTGCTTCTGGAAGTAAAGAAAACTGTACTCTTTGCACTGTTTGTTAGGGGATGGACAGAGAAAGTATCTGTTGTCCGCTCCTGGAGTAGAGGAACAAGACTTGGGGGCAATGGACGCAGTCTGGCAGGGGTGCCAGGGGTGTGGGAGATGCCAGGCAAGGCAGACGACTTCAAATGCGTCAAACGCAAGAACTGCCGGAATTGCTCCTCGTCCGCTGCTGTCACTGGTTTTATAGGTCTAGTTGGTTAAAATTAATTTAACCTGCATTTTCTTAGACTGTCCTATCCGGTACTACTCTATTTCATGTGTAAATGATTGTGGCTTTGCTATTAACCTAGTTCTTACTTACCTGTGAATTTCAAAGTTGAAGGCAAATTGAAACATCACAAAATTATTTGTTCTGAAATGTTATAGGAATTTATCTACTAAATCTTGATAGCAAACAGCACAAAATTGTCTTTCCCCGTGTCCCAGTAAAGAGCCTGCTTTTAATGAATCACAAATCTGATTCATTCTACTTATGCTTGAAGAACTGTGGATGCGTTTAACATGGTTATAGCATTTTACAAGTCTATTCGAAGGGGGGCAAACCCCATCTCCCCTTCCTTTTAGAAATGCTGAGGTTTTGGTGATGGATAATGCAGCTGCCTTCTCACTTTAGGCATTGCTCGCTCAAAGCAAAATAGTTAACTTCCAGGCTTCTTTTATCTTAGACCTTTTCAAGATGAATAAACTAAAAAGCAGCAGCTGATCAAAATAACAAAGGGTGGTAAGGTGCCTTTAGTTTCGTGTAAGAGTGTCTGCAAATTCCTGGTGGAATTCTAGGCCCGGCACTGATGGAGCTGGCTAAGGATATCGATCGCCACTTGAATTCACTGAATAAATAATGGTTGCCATAGTTATTGAGCATTCACAACTGGTGGGGAAGCACGGAAATCTCCAAAACACCTCCTGTGATAGTTTTGCTGGAAAATCAGCCAATTAATTCTGTCTCATATCATGAAAATTATGGGAGATAGGCAGGATGCTGGGGCTCCTTGTAGTAGAATTTCAATCATAATTGAGCATCTCTGCCACCTATTTTAGCAGCTAAAGAGAAAAGGGCACTTGCCATCTCTTCTTGTGTCTGACAGAAAGGTTAACTGACATCGTATAACCCCAACTGTTCTGAGAAATCTTACGCTTTCAAAGCATTTTTTTGCTTTGAGTACCAGAGTACGGATTGGGGTTACACCGAAGAAGAGGAGTTCTCTCAGTTTGCGATGGGGATGCTGATGTGTTTTTTCCCTCGCTTTGCAGAACGACATGGATTAAAAGAACCAAAGAAAGTGGAAGAGCTATGCAACAAGATCACAAGCAGTTTGAAAGATCACTTAACTTTCAGTTGCCAAAACAAAGGACAACCGCTTGAGTCTGCAGAGCCGAAGGTACTGGGTGTTCTGGCTGACTTGCGTTCTCTCTGCACACTGGGACTGCAGCGCATCTTTTACCTGAAACTGGAAGATTTGGTGCCAGCCCCTTCCATTATCGACAGGCTGTTTCTGGACACCTTACCCTTCTGAGTCAAACCACCCTCCCGAAAGGCAAACGCCCACCAGAGCAGGCAAACGGATCGTGACTTACAGCTAACATTTCTGCCCTCACTTAACAGAAAAGCAGCTCCGAGTCTAAAATGAGGTCTTTTCTGGCGCTTTGTCCTTACAACCTGAGGCCTGAGACTTAACTGGCTTACTGGTTTGGGGTTGTGTTCTTTGTTTTCTTTTGTGTGATTTGGGTTTTCTAAATGGCTAATATGGCACTTTTGGACAATGCTATCCCAGCAGCAGTAAAAGGTTAACACGACTGTTTTAAATCTGTTGTTTAACACCTCATGGTATATGAGGGATAAAATTGTAGAAGCTGTGGTTGAAAACAAGAACAGCAAATAGTTGTTTGCCAGGGTAGTATGTGTTTTGTGAGGATACCTTTAGCATACTTCCTGCATCAAGGGCACATACATCAGCACAATCTAAACAAAAATTCACTTTTTTAGCAAAGTACATTCAATTGAACATTTCATACAAATCAAATATAGCAAAATGACGATGGCTGTTAGCTCCCATGTTCAAGTGCAATTTTTTAAAGTGCTGTCTTACTAAGTCTTGTTTATTAACTAATTTATTTTACTATGAAAACAAACGGAAGAAATCAAGTGAGAAAATCACATGCACTAACTTACCTGACAGAGTTTTCCAAACTTGATTCCATGTAGCGTGACTTATTGACAAATGTATGTGGAAGACACGGGAGCAATTGTGGCTCAGTTGTTCCTTAGCTAAGGAAATCCGAGTAAGTAGTGATTGGAGCATACAGGGTCAGCATCAGGGATAGTTCGGTTTTAGACTTCTAACAGAAGCGACTAGTTAGTAAACGGACAGAAGATGGTTTTCAAGAACAAGCAAGTCTTGTAAAATAGTATGAATGTAAGTGCTAGGAAGGATATAGTGGGCTGCGTTTAAACATTCCGTGTTCGTACTCCTTTTTGTATGTTTATACTGTTGATGCCATATTAATATGAAATAATTTGTTGCATAGTGTCTTTATTTGTATAAATGTTTGTATGCATGGTATATTGTAATGGCTTTGCCTGTATTTATTGCAATGACTGCCAGCTCATGGGAGCCCTGTTACAGACGATAACTAAATGGGGTGTTCACACTGACTCAGATACACCAGTTGGAAAACTATATACATATATATAGCGTGTATATATATATATGTATATACCTATATTTGTGTGCGCGTGTGTGTGTGTGCGCGTGTCTTTTTATTAACCATTTGTATATAAAATACCTGTCAAATCACAAGCAGAGTTATTTTACAGTTTATTTGCAGTGACTTCTAAGGCAGTACTGTTTAGCACTTTGATATTAAAATCTTGCTCATGTTTTGCTAAATTCAAATAATATTTAAAAAGTTTAGTTCTAAAAAACTTTATATGCACTGTATTAAGTCAAAATTTTGTTGGTCATTTTGCTAAGGAAATTTTTGAATGTCAACCTGATGTCACTGTATCTTTTGTTAGCTTTAAACATTCTAGCTTTTGTCTTTTTTTAAACTATGCTGTTTATATGGAAATTAAATTATACAATCAAACAGATGCCAAATGAATTGCCTAATTGCTGCAAAGGATAACCCAGATATCGAGTCACTGTATGGTTTTCAAATAGTAATCTGGTATTTTATCACTTACTATGTTTGGATGTGCTTTTATGAAAAAATTATTCTTATATCAAGATTTATAGTAGTGTCAATAGGGAAACAGACTTCTAATCACTATAGTTAATATTTCCGGTTTACCTGCAGATAATATTTGGAAAAGTATTGCTTTTTGTATTGACTTTTAAGCTTATGTGCAAACATAATAGCATAATTAAATATCAGAGAAGCTAATGTTTCTTGTAGGTTGCTGTAACAAGCCTGACCAGCAAGACAAATATATTTTGACTGAATTTGCTTTTGTATATACTATATATATATATATACACGTATATATATATACACTCACACACATGTGCGCATACGAAAACATACAGACACAAAATCCAAAAGTATGTTTACTTTTGTCTCCTGTGTAAGACACAAGGTCCCTTAAGAAATTACTTTTATCTAGGGACAAATCCTGCCAGGTGCTGAGCACCAACCAGATCAGGGCTTGCAGACGTTTCTTGCAAGTGGGCCCTTACAAAGAATTTTCAGGCGAATCAGCATAGTAAAGTAAAATTGCTTTTTTTGTTGAGCAAGGTTTATTTATTAAGTGGAATGTGAGTGGGAGGTAGCAGGTCCAGAGCCCCGTGTGAGATTTCACGTAGCCGGTGTCCTCCAGTCTTCCATAGATAGTCTTAACTGTGATACTCTCCCAAATCCCGTCATCTGTGGAATTGTCCTTCATGTCAACTTCAATACACAGATTCATCCTAGACTACAACCAGTGACAGGTCACAGTGGTAAAAGAAAGAGTTAACGCAGAATAAATCTACTTTTCTTAGAGCTCTCTCAGTGTGAACATGCCTTTGTATAGGCAGAATTCAGGAATATATCAGGTGTTAAGGGAGAGTGCCTTGCTTTTATTTCAGACAACAGTGTTTCAAGAGTTTCTTCACTCCGCTAACCGCAGTAGGTTTTTCTTTTTTCTTTCCCTCTTTTTTTTTTTTTTTGTGGTGTTAACCTGTGGGTTGAAAGAAATGCTCTTGTACATATACAATGTAAATTAAAATTATTAAATTGAATAACATTTTTTTCAGAGGCCCCATGTGTGTTGAATAAGTATGCTTAATTCTGTTAAAATCTGATGTGAATTTTTTATCATTTATAAAACATTAAAAAAATTGTCTACTTGAGTCTTAAAAGTGTAAAAATTGGTGAAGCATGCTTAAGAACACTGGCAATTTAATGGCTAGTCTTTTGATTAAAATAGCTTTTATATAAATACTATAAGACCTGCAGTATCTGGTTATGCAATCTCAGTTAGATACTGAGAGCTGGGCCATGGTTGTCCCAGAGGTTGGACTACATATGGACCAGAGCAGAGAGACTACCTGCCCCTCGGTGTTGTGCTAAGGATGGGATTGTAATTAATTCACAAATGATGATGGCCACAACGGAGGGAGGAGATGGCTGTAGGGCTCCTGGACCCATATAGCACCTATGTCTGGCTAGAAAGAGGACAGAGCTCTGACCCCATCTTCTGCCCCTTTGTGTCAGTGAATGCTGGTAAGACATTGCTCCAGCAGGCACCTGCCGCATTTTCTTTAAATGTGCGGCCAGTTCCTTTCCTTACCGTGCCTTTGCTTTGTAGAAGGGATGGCTTATCCCCTGCCAGAGAAAACTGTTTGGCTACAAATGCATTTTCTACAAGTACAGTTTTGAGAGGCATCTGCCACTATTCAGGGTATTGCCATAAGTACCAATGCCTCCAGCACACCTCCGCGAGAGCTGTTCTTCTGCAGGAACCGCTCGGCTGGAGGTTGCATCAAATGGTGTGCTGTGGCGAGATGCAGGATTGGCAGCTCCTTCTTTGGAAATGTGGTGAAACAAAAGGTTGCTCAAAGTCTTCCAAATTATTTGTTGCTTTTTTTTCCTATGCCTTATTTTTAAAATTAAAAATCTTAAAATCCTTAGTGGCAATGCGCTTTGCATAATAGACCTGTTAGGCAAAGCATCCAGATCTTGTGACCTACCCGCATCAAGGCCTGAATTTTCACCCTACAAGAAAAAGCATACCCTCACTAAACTCACAAGTACCTCAATTTGTAATGACTTCAGGGGCCGTAAGTTGTGTCTTTAGACACGGGAACAGAACTGTGTCCTATCTAGATCACCTGCACTTGTGTCCTTATGTGCGCTTCACGTGCACTCCTAAACCACAACAGTGGCAGAGTCCTCGCAAATGACTTGATGCCTGCTGATTGACTCCAGCATTGGAAGGTGGGGCTGAGTCAGGAATATGATAGTAGGTTCCTCTAGCAGAGACCATCCTTGGACAGGAGGCTGGCACCATGGCACCCCAAAATGAGCAACTTTAATTAGAGGTGAGTCAAATCTCTTTATATAGCTTTCCTAGCTTTACTTTTCATGTTCAGGTTCATTTGTCCAATATACAAAGCTAAAATTTCAGTTACGTTGCAGAGAGGAGGGAGAGAGAGAGACAGAGGTTTAATTGTATAAAATTAAGCGTGACTGACAACAATTGGCAACTCCCTCTATGGACGCTATGAAACATGTCTTTTGATTAATTATTTGTATTATAGCAACACCTAGAGGCCAGAACAGAGATCAGGACCCCATTTTGCTAGCTATCCTAATTAGCACCTCCAGTACCCACCTGGGAGAAGCTCCAATCCAAATAGACAAAAGAAAAAGAAAGAGAAGCAACGCAGGGAAAAAGGAGTGCCATGCCCAAGGGCATCGAGCATTTCAGTCACAGAATTAGGAATAAAAACTTTTGTTTACTGAGCTAGTGTCCAGTGAATGCTCTTATTTTGTTTTCCTTTTCTTTCCCTGGGCAATTTATGCTGCTACTGTATCAAATTTTATGCAAACACGATAAAAGCATTGACAAATTCAAAATAACCCGTGTATTCAAACTGATCTTGTTTACCCTGCGTATATAAGTCATCCATGAGACTATTCAAAATCCTGGTCAATCACATCTTTGGAACTAAGCTGTGCTACATACTAGATAGTATTTAGAAAAGAGATATTTAGCTGTTCTTTACTAAATTAATGAAACTGACCATTGGGAATATTTCAAGATATGGATTAAACAATAATTATTAATGGATAAAAAAGATTAACTTTTAACAATGCCAAACTACTGATGCAGTAATTGAATAAATGGGGAGTCAATTAATCAAATTCCTAGCAGTGGATGACATATTTGAGAATTGTATTCCAGACCTACGTTTGTGAGAATTGCCAATACAGTGATTTGTCAAATAAAAGAAAAAGAAACTTGCTTACCATATGGAAACACTTTTAGCAATTTTTCTTCTGTTTTCTTTTTTAACATTAGACACCTTTAGTTTTATGTTTATAAGATGGAATGTTCTGCCTGCATTTGGTTACAGAAGTTTGAATACATGAAGTTGTGACATGGCTGTGAAAGTCAGACAAGATCAAGATTCTGACCTAAACTCACAAAAGCAAGGATTTTCTTTAAAGAGAAGGGTGGGATTTCCCACCTGTAATTAGATATTATGCACATCACAAGATGCTTACGTGCGTATAATGAAACTGCTTTAATGTCAAGTATGAGATTCTGAAGTCATGCAAAAGACAAGACCATGGGAAAAAAAATGCCATTTTCCCCCATTGTTTAATATTTTCATAGAATCATAGAATCATTTAGGTTGGAATAGATCTTTAAGGTCATTGAGTCCAACCATTAACCTAACACTGCCAAGTCCACCACTAACCCATGTCCCTAAGCACCACATCTATACATCTTCTAAGTATGTCCAGGGATGGTGACTCAACCACTTCCCTGGAGGCCAGGGTGGGGTCCCCCACCCCCTCCCCTGGCCAGCCTGTTCCAATGATTGACAACCTTTTTGGTGAAGAAATTTTTCCTAATATCCAATCTAAACCTTCTCTGGCACAACTTGAAGCCATTCCCTCTGGTCATATTGCTTGTTATTTGGGAGAAGAGACCAACACCCACCTGGCTACAACCTCCTTTCAGGTAGTTGTAGAGAACTACAAGGTCTCCCTTCAGCCTTCTCCAGGCTAAACCACCTGTTCCCTCAGCCGCTCCTCATAAGATTTGTGCTCCAGACCCTTCACCAGCTCCGTTGCCCTTCTTCAGACATGCTCCAGCACCTCAATGTCCTTCTTGTAGTGAGGGGCCCAAAACTGAATGCAGTACTCGAGGTGTGGCCTCAGCACTTCCCTAATGATCACTTCCCTACTCCTGCTGGCCACACTATTCCTGATACAAGCCAGGATGCTGTTGGCCTTCTTGGCCACCTGAGCACACTACCAGCTCACGTTCAGCTGGCTGTCGACCAACAGCCCCAGATCCTTTTCTGGCAGGCAGCTTTCCAGCCACTCTTCCCCAAGCCTGTAGTGTTGCCTGGGGTTGTTGTGACACAAGTGCAGGACCTGGCACTGAGCCTTACTGAACCTCATACGATTGGCCTTGGCCCATCGATCCAGCCTGTCCAGATCCCTCTGTAGAGCCTTCCCGCCCTCAAGCAGATTAACACTCTTGGCCAACTTGGTGGTCTGCAAACTGATTGAGGGTGCACTCGATCCCCTCATCCAGATCATTGATAAAGATATTAAACAGAACTGGCCTCAGCACTGAGCCCTGGGGAACACCACTTGCAACTGGCCACCAATTGTATGTATGTATGTAACTCCATTCACCACAACTCTTTGGGCCCAGCCATCCAGCCAGTTTTTACCCAGAGACCCATACACCTATCCATGCCATGAGCAGCCAGTTTCTCCAGGAGAATGCTGTGGGAAATGGTATCAAAGGCTTTACTAAAGTCCAGGTAGACAACATGTACAGCCTTTCCTTCATCCACTAAGCAGGTCACCCTGTCATAGAAGGAGATCAGGTAAGTCAACCAGGACCTGTCTTTCATAGACCAGTGTTGACTGGGCCTGATTGCCTGGTTTTCCTGTACGTGCCGTGTGATGACATTCAAGATGATCTGCTCCATTTTAGATTGCTTATCAATTTTTCTTAAAAGAACAGAGCATTCTGGGCTTGTTTAAGTGGAATTTTATCTCAAATAAATAAATAAATAAATAAACAAGCTAAGGGACATTTAAAGAAAGAAATGTGTTTAAGTAGCTGAAATATCTCAGATAATCAGAAATCTTTAACCTGTTAAGTAATGTATTAAAATCTCCCTCCACAATAATTTCCAAAGTATTCTGTGATTAAGCACTATTGTAGAACAAAAGTGAATTACAGACATGGTTTGATGCTGTGGAAACT